TTCATTAGCATCGTAATTTAGAGGCATCAGTTCTTTTCTGGTCTTCCTTATTCATTGTCCATAGTGACATGCTTATGAGGTGATTGAAAATATCATGGCCTGGGTCAGGCACATTTTAGCCCTAAAAGTTATATCTCTGCTTTTGAACACTTTAAAGAGGTCTTTCGCAGCAAATTTGCCCAGTGCAGTACATCATTTGATTTCTTGACTGCTGCTTCCATGGGTGTTTATTGTGGATCCAAGTAAGGTGAAATTCTTGACAATTTCAAAATTTCCTCTGTGTATTGTAATGTTGCTTCTTGGTCCAGTTGTGAGGATTTTTGTTTTCTTTGTGTTGAGGGGTAATTCATATTGAAGGCTGTAATCTTTGATCTTCATCAGTAAGTGCTTCAAGTCCTCTTCGCTTTCAGCGAGCATAGTTGTGTCATCTGCATATCGTAGGTTGTCATTGAGTCTTCCTCGAATCTTGATGCGCATTCTTCATATAGCCCAGCTTCTTGGATTATTTGCACATCATACAGATTGAATAAGTGTGGTGAAAGGGTACAGTCCTGACAAATACGTTTCCTGATTTTAAACCACGCAGTAGCCATGGTCGAATCACTGCTCTTGGTCTATATACAGTTCCTCATGAGCACAATGGCAGTGTTCTGGAATTCCCATTCTTGGCAATGTTATCCATAGTTTGTTATGATCCATACAGTTGAATGCCTTTGCACAGTCAGTAACACACAGGTCAACATCTTTCTGGTAATCTTTGCTTTTAACCACGATCCATCTGACGTCAGCAGTCATAGCCCTAATTCTGCATCCTCTTCCAAATTTGGCTCGAAATTCTGGCAGCTCCTTGTCAGTGAACTACTGCAGTGATTTTTGAATTATCACAGTTTTTCTTGTGTGTGTTATTGATGATTTTGTTCTATAATTTCCACATTGTATAGAATAACTTTTCCTTGGAATGGGCACAGATATGACTATCTTCCAGTTGGCTGGCAGGTAGCTATCTTCCAGATTTCTTGGCATAGATGAATGAATGCCTCCCTTTGTTGAAACATCTCAATTGAGATGTATTCCATCAATGCCTGGAGAGTTCTTTTTGGTCAGTGCCTTCAGTGTGACTTGAACTTCTTCTTTCAATACCATTGGTTCTTTTTTTTTTTTTTTTTAATTTTATTGTAATTTGGGTGAAAGTTTACAAAGCAAATTGATCTTCCATGCATCAGTTCACATACACTGTCTCATAACATTGACTGCAGTCTCCCACAATGCAACAGCTCCCCTCCCATTTCCTCCCTGTAGCCATCTCTTGTCTGTATCCTCCCCTCCATGCACTCCTGCCCCCGGAGCTGTCTCTCTGTGCATACAAAGCCCTTCTATTCGCCCATGATTGATTTCTCCAAGTAGCGTATCTGCCTAATATAAATGTTCGGTTCAAATGCCTGTCTTTTGTTTGGCTGGAAGCCACAGGAATGAGTTCAATTTCAGACCTGAAGGGCAGCTAGGCACCATAGTCTCAGGGTTTCTACCAGGCTCTATCAGACCAGCAAACCTGGTCCCTGGTTTTTTTTTTTTTCATGATTTTGAGTTTTCTTCCACCTTATTCTCCTGCTCCATCCAGGATCTCCTACATAGATCCCCCTGCGAGTGATTGACACTGGTAGCCATGTGCCATCTAGTTCTTGTGGTTTCATAGACATATAGGCTAAGGACTACATGGTGTACCAGTTCCTTGGACTAATTGTTTCCATATGTCTTTGGTTTTCTTCATTCTTCTTTGTTCTGAACAAGGAGAGACCCATAGTTGCATGCAGATGGCCACTTGTAAGCTTTTAAAATCCTGATCGCTACTTGCTAAAGTAGGATGTGAAACAATGTTTTTGTGTAGTATGTTATGCCAGTTGAGCTTGATTGATGTTCCCTGAGCCCACAGGTCCAACTACTCACTCCCTCTGGGTAGCTGGCTATGGCCAAGAGTGACTACAATCCTGTCCCTTGTCCGCTCTACTATACACCTGGAAATTCTTACAGAACATACAAATACACTTGTAGAAGCACTGTCTGCCAACCCTATACAATACCATTGATTCTTGATCGTATGCTGCCTCCTGAGATGGTGGAATATTGACCAATTCTTTTTGGTACAGTGACTGTGTATTCCTTCCTTTGTTTGATGGTTCCTGTGTTGTTCTTTTTTTTTTTTTTGTTTATAGAATCCTTCAATATTGCAACTTGAGGCTTGAATTTTTCTTTAGTTCTTTCAGCTTGAGAAATGCCAAGTGTGTTTTTCTCTTTTGGCTTTCTAATTCCCCGTCTTTGCGCATTTCATTATAATACTTTACTCTGTCTTCTTAAGCCGCATTTTGAAATCTTCTGTTCACCCCTTTTACTTCATTATTGTTTTTCCATTCACTTTAGCTACTCTATGCTCATGAGCAAATTTCAGAGTCTCTTCTGACATCCATTTTGGTCTTTTCTTCCTTTCTTGTCTTTGAATGACCTTTGACTTTCTTCATGTATGATGTCCTTGATGTCATCTCACAACTTGTCTGGTCTTCAATCCTTAGTGTTTAGTGTGTCAAATCTATTCTTCAGTGGTCACTAAATTCAGATGGGATATGTGCAAAGTCATACTCTGGCTCTTGTGGCTTGTTTTGATTTTTTTTCAGCTTCAACTTGACCTCACATATGAGCAATTGATAATCTGTTATGCAGTCAGCACCTGGCCTTGGTACCTGGCCTTCTTGGACTGATTATATTGAGTTTCTCCATTGTCTCTCTTCACAGATGTAGTGCATTTGATTCCTGAGTATCCCATCCGGCAAGGTACACATGTATAGTTGCCATGTATGTTGTTGAAAAAGGTATTTGCAATGAATACATTGTTGGTCTTGCAAAATTCTATCATGGGATCTCCAATGTCATTTCTATCACTAGGGTCATATTTTCCCACTGCTGACCCTTCTTTTGTTTCCAACTTTCATATTTCAATCAATGTAGTAATTATCAATGCATCTTAATTTCATGTTTTATCAATTTCAGGTTGTACAAGTGGGTAAAAATCTTCAGTTCTTCATGTTTGGCATTAGTGGTTAGTGCATAAATTTTAAAAATAGTCCTATTAACTGGTCTTCCTTGTAGGGACATGGATATTATCTTATCACTAAAAGCATTGTATTTCAGGATAAAGAGAGCTCTGGTGGTATAGTGCCTAAGGCATTTGACTGCTAACCAGAAGGTTGGCAGTTCAAACCCCCTCAGCCACTCCTTGGAAGGAAGATTGGACAGTCTACTTCTGTAGCGATACCACCTCAGAAACCGAAGGAGGGGTCGATATGAGTTGGAAAATGACTCAATTATGAATGTGATGCTCTTCCTCTTTAAGTTTCAGCCATGGTAAGCAATGTGTCATTCCTAGCATAATAGACCATATGACTGTAAGATTCAAAATGGCCAGTACAGTTCATTTCAGCTCACTAATGCCTAGGTTGTTGATCTTTATGCATTCCATTTCATTTTTGTTGACTTCCAATTTTCCTAGGTTTGTACTTAGTATATTCCACATTCTGAATACTAATGGATGTTTGCAGCTGTTTTTCTCCTTTTGAGTTGTCACCTATCTGCAAATGAAGATGCCAGAAGCCTTAACTCCACCCAGGTCACTTAGGTCACCTATACTTTGAGGAGGCAGCTCTTTCCCAGTAGTATTTTGAGTGACTTTCCACCTGAAGGGCTCATCTTCTGTCACTGTTTCAGGTAGTGTTCTGCTGATAACTCATAAGGTTTTCACTGAACAATTTTGTTTCAATCACCAGGTCCTCCTTCTTAGTCTAGAAACTCTGCTGAAACTTGCCTACCACGGGTGATCTGCTGGTCTTTGAAATACCGGCGGCATAGCTTCCAACATCACACCAACATACAAGCCACCACTTTAGGACAAACTGACAGAGGGGTGGTGGTTCTCTTCAACTGACCATTTGAATTACATCTTTGCATTGTTTAGGGTTGGGGTGAATGTGTGCATATGTGTGTGGAGGGCTTCTCTTTCCTCACTGTTACATCGTTTTTTCATTTTAAGCCTTTTAGGAATTCCTAATAAATAATTTGATTGTAGAATGCTACTATGTATTCACAGTCTGAGGCATTCATCAAAAGAAATCTATCCAGTGCATTTCATTTGCAGGGTTGTACTCCTGATGCACTAAAATAAGAAATGTGAATTTCTTGCAGACTGTTATCAGATGGTTTTAAATATCTGCCAAAAAGGAATTCCTGTCCCCATGTTAGGAATTTCTATAATAAAATGCTGGCACCATAGCTCAGAATGGTTTTATATAAACAGAAAAACAGCAGCGAGTGTTCTCCCTGAAGACAGTTTTAGCTGCAGTTTACCAATGCTGCTTAGTTATTTCTGTCTTATTTTTATGCTTTTGTTTTGAAACATAGGGTAATTTTACCTGGATACACCCTTGGATATTCAGGAATTAGCTGAGTGTGTTGACGTGAACATGCAAGACCTCCGGAGACTCCTGAGGAGGCACCGCTGCCTGCCCCTTCCCCCACCTCCACCTCCACCGGGAAGAAAGGGGTTAAGGACGATTGGAGGCTAGAGGAGAGGGGAGGGAGCCCTGAGGAGGCCCAGGAGGCGCTCACCTCGCCTCCAGCTCTAGCTTTCATCACACGCAGGGAGCTTGGAGTGCAGTGGTGAATTTGGAGGGGGTGCTGCTGCCAATTTCAGGGACGCTGCTGGGAGTGGGCGTGGCCTCGGTGGTGTGGATGCTCATTAGGAAAGATACTGGGTGCTTTTCAGTGAGGAGTCAGGACTGTGTGTGTGCATGTGAGTGTGTGTGTGTGTATGTGTGTGTGAGAGAGAGAGAGAGGAGAAGGGAGGGAACGACATAGTGACCAAGAGACAGAGAGACAGGTGCTCAAGGGCCAGACAGAGCTGCCAGAGAGACAGAGAGCAGGACTGGAGTGAAGACAGCCACTCCGAATCTTTTTGGAGTTCAATGAATGTGAACATGGGGTCTGTCACCGGAGCGGTCCTCAAGACGCTACTTCTGTTATCTACTCAAAATTGGAACAAGGTCCTAGCTGAGAATTCCTGTAAGTATACAGCAAATGATTTAAAACTCACAGGGGGCTCTCTGCAAAACTTTGATTCTGTTGTTTTTGTAATTATTATTTGCAATTGGACTTACTGCAAGGCACATTGCTGTGAATCGAGCATCGTTTAACAGCCCAGCGGGTATGACAGGGTTCATGCTTGTCCTTCCTCTTCATCTGGTCAAAATACGCAAAGTAGCCTTTCCCTTTTGGTCTCTGAGCAGAATCCCATCCTCTTGCCTTTGAATGTTCATTGAGAAAACTCGAGTTCTAGTAAAACACTGAATTAGCGTCTTAACTAGGGAGTAGCCCGAGAATGTGTTCATTCCTTCTTTTTTCAGGATTACTGAATTTTACTGGAATGATATCTAACAGGAAAACAATGGGCAGATTTCACATTGTGCTGTGTTAGCGCAGATTTCTGAAGTTTGCAGTGTAGCAGACTAGTAGCTGGCTGCATCTTGAGGAAGACGCCAGGCTAATCACGGAAACGTACTGCAGGATTCAGGAGCAGAACTGGGGGAAGCAGGCTGGCTGTGAAGAGCTGTGGGCTCCCTGTTAAGAGCTGTGGCCTCGCGGCTATGAGGACGAGGAGGAGATTGGAGCACTCCTGACAGAGGGGCCTGGCCCCACATCTTGCTAGACGGAAAACATTCAGCGGATTTTACAAAAGTAGTCTTCTTTCGTGGTTGAATTTTTAACTTGATAGAATGGACTTTGAATGTTCTGCTGGGTCTAGTTTATTCAGTCAGTATTTACTGTAACCTTTTTTTCTGATTTATGGAGCATCCAAATTAATCCGGCAGAACACGCTGCATCCACTTTTTATTAAGGGTAGAAAAAGCTTAAAAAGTTTTATTTGGACGAAAATCGCTAAAAAGGAGAATTTCCCCCTCCTTGTTGAAAGATTAGCAAGCTCTGCGTATGTAACTTTTTACCTCTTGGATTTTAAAGGAAAAGCTCATTTGCTTTTCAAGAAAGAGCTGGCAGGCTTGTTGATTTGGTCCCTGCCCTATACCTGGGTTTTCAGTGGAGGGACACAAATGAACTGGTACCCAGAGTTTTACCGGAGCACATCGCAACACTGCGCTCAAAGGCTCCGGGGTGGAAAAAACCCACGTGAACTGTCGTTAGTCCAAGTCCATTCACGCTGCAGGGCTACTGTGGAAAGAAGTGGAACTTCCCTCCAGACACTGCTGCCCGCACTGGCTTTCAGATGCAGTTTTCATTTGGGTGGGTGACCATCCTGTAAGTCAATAAGATTTGCATGTTTTCACCTAGTGGAAGTCACACAATCCTGTAATGGTAGCATTTGACTAATGTTGCAGGAAACCACCACTACCCCTGTCACCACCACCACATACATGCGTGCACATGCGCACACACGTGCGCACACATACATACACACACACACACAAAGTTTTGTTTAAAAAAAAGCACAAGAAAGTAATTCCTCATCCAACTGCTAAAGTTCAACAAAAAAGGGAGGCACTAGAGGTCACCCTTACAATGTGAAGCACATCCCTTCTTGCAGCCTTCCTCAGAAGAGGAGCAGGAAGTCTGCCCCCTGTGCAGTCCTCTGACCAGTGCTCTGCCTGTAGTCGGGTTTACAGTATATGGATACGATTAGTTGGGCTAATGATTGTTGATGTTTGTTTTGTTCTCTTGACGTTCTGTAATAGGCAGAGGATGCAGGCAGACAGTATGTTCCCTTTTGTCCTGTCTCGTTAGTAAAGGTGCTGGGAGCCTGAGGAGGCATGCTGTCCATGTCTGCTTAGCTCTGGTTGGGCCTCTGGCCGACATCTAAAATTTCATCCTCTGTCTGTATTCTCTCAGCCGAGGTTTCAGGAAGTGAGTTTAATGTTCTTCTCAATGCTTAAAGAACCTGTAAAAATTTAAACTACTAGGGATATTTAGATATATTGAAGTGGGAGCTCTTCCTCACATATGTATTAGGAGTTGACTGTTCCCCAAGTGTCAAATAGTCATTGAAATGAATTCATTTAATTAAAATTGCATTTCGTAATTTCTTCTTAATGTCACTTTGACAGTGTGATTGTCTAGTATAGATACAATAGAAAAAAATGTCTTTTCCCAGTTTTTAATTTATTCCTCATCATTTGGACAGTATTTTCATTTCAGAAGGACACAAGGTCTAAAAGCTTGATCTTTCTTATTAACAAGTCATGGTACTCCATGTGTTTTCACCTTTTTAAGGAGAACAGATATACATGTTTGCCAGCAAGGTTGGTCTTTGGTGCCTGGACATGAAACCAGCAGCTTAAGTATAGTAGGTCCATTAATTGTGCTGGATAAGCCATTATAGTAGCAATAAAATGAGTCAATCTCAAGCACCAATATGAAAGTCAGGGGAACTGAATATAAATGCAGAGGAAAATTAAAGGTCTCTTGGTCAGGTGTATACAAAGACCTTTTCCCTTCATTTACAACTGACTCACCGGAAGCAAATCTGTTCATCCACTGAGTTAGCCCAGTGGCCCAGTGTGAAAGCTTTCATGGAACAAGACTCTGAAGCCCAGGACAGCTCAGGGAGTAGGTGCACTTTAATTTGAACGTCAGTTGATCTAATTGATCAATAGGGAAATTTTATATTAGATGGATTCTGTATCTATCTGTCTGTCTATATGTGTCTGTCTGTCTGTCTGTCTATCTGTATCCATCTATCTTATATGCACAAACATGTATTTTATATGTGTGTAGAAATATGTATACGTGATTAGACTCACGGGCTTGGTCGTCTTGGTTGGCCCTGCCTACTCCTCATCTGCCTAGAGATGAAGTTTGTTGAAGGACCACATTCTTTGCCTACTCATATCCTATCTGACTTTTCAAAAGCAACGAACAAGCCCCTATCTTTCTACTTTGTTCGGGTCAATGCAAGTTTGTTAAAATATTGAGACATTCTCCTGAAGAAAGTTAGCGGACTAACATACAAGGGCTTGCTTTCTGAGGAGTTACATAGGCTGTTGTTGCTTTCCTCAGTTGCTATGGGAAGCACGCATGGGGTCATGTCTTTATTTTATAATTATTGGTTTGAATCCACAGTTTCTTTCTGAACATTAAGATGTTGTTGGGGAAAGGGTCACCTCTCCTGAAAAGAAGGAACAAGTATAAATAGTAAGGTGGGTAAGAGTTTGGCCTTTATTTTTACTGGTACAGATCATGTGATGGAAACCATGGCCTAAGACATGCTGAACCTTACGCTAATTAATGCTCAACCAAATAGTGTATGAATGACTTAATTAGAACCTAACTTCTGAGTGCTTTTTTTCTTTTACTTGAAATAAAGGATAACCGGATACTTACCCTGAATAAAAGCACTGAAGGATATGTTAAAGTCAGCAATAGATGAAGGTGATTACCTGACTAGAGGATCGCTCTTATGGGCTCTGGGTTACCACCTGGATGCAGCTAGACTGATTTCAGATGGTTACAGCTCAGTTTTATCATTCTTTCTAGAAGCTTCCTTATTTACCCCACCTCCCCAAAATTACCTTCCCATAACGAAAAGTAACCGGAGTACAAAGGACTGATAAAATATGATTAAGTAATCCAGTGCATGACTTTTGGATATAAAGGTGAGCGTGGACTTTGATTTGCTTTTCTAATAGTAATGCTGATTAGTTTTTACCCTGGTCCCTGTTGTGTCCAAGTCATTTCTGATAAGGGCATGAGGGCTGCCCTCAGTGCTGGGGATAACGTAGCTCATAGGCCAATATGGAGATCACACACCTGGTGTTCCCATAATACCTAGCACTTACTCTAAGTAATAAACATTATTAGTGTCTTCTAAAATTAATTTCAGAAATTGTATCATATGTAAATACTTTCTTCATTGGAGCCAAACTATGTATCTTCACTGAAGCCAATCTTTATGGATTGAATTGCCTTACCCCTTCAATGAAAACAGATTAATTGACTTATATAACATATAATGTAATGTTTAGTTAAATTTTGGCAAACTATGGGCGCTTGGACCAGTTTTGGTCCATTGCCTATTTTCACACAGCCCATGTCCTAAAATAAAATAGTATTTGTATTTTTTAAAGTTTGGAAAAACTCAAAAGAAGAATTCTTCACGACACCTGGGCATTATGTGAAATTTAAATTTTAATGTCATCCATTCTTCTCATTAGTAGACCCATATAACAAAAATTTGTACTTTATTATTATTATATTTTGAATTTTATCAATAAAATTTCCTGGAAATTGTTTTTCCTTTTGTTATATAAGTACCTACGTAATAATAGGTAATTATTTATTAATATTAGCTAAGTATTTATTATCTGATCCTTTATAGAAAAAGTTTGTCCCCTGATTTAAATAATCAACATATGATGTAATGTGAGACTTTAGCAGTGTATGACTCATATTGCTAGGTCAGTGGCATGGATATTTGTAATCATCTGAAAGTTTCAGCAGTTTTGGTTGCTATAAAATACATTCAATCTCAAGTAATTCTATTAGTATAAGAAGCGCGGCATGTGAATAAGTAATTGTATCTTAGACACTTTGGATGAAAATTTTGCTGCTATTTTATACTTTCATGCCCATAAAAGATTCCACTCCATACCAACCAGAAACTTCTCCTTAGAATCAGTGATTATGTGAGTGAAGGAATCTTTTCATAAAAGTGTTCTTGTCTCTCTGAGTTTCAAAGCAGCAACTTCCTAAAAATTCTGAAATCAAACTTTCTAAAATAAATTGAAAAATAGCTTTTCATTTAAACACAGCCCATTGAGAATTCATAATAATTAAGCAAGTGCCTTTCACCTGCTCATGCCAGTGTATTCAACTTTTACGTTAACGTCTGTCCATTTGGAATTGTATTTACTTTCCATTTCCAAGATCTAATCACTAGCTTCATTTTATTTGCATTACACTGTTTACCATATATATTTTTTAAAGTTTAAGTTAAAAAATATAATGGGGGAATGATATTTAAAAAATGATTTTTGTTAACATTCCATTGTAGCATT